ACTCCAGGTAAAATAATGCCTTCTCAATACTAATGTAGTCGGTACTTTTCAAGCTTTAATGTGAATTGAGTCAACTGGGGATCTTGTTTACTGCAGATTTGGAATCAGTAAGCCTGGGGTTAGGCCCGGAATTCTGCATTTCTGTAATGCATTGGAGCAGAGGCACTCAGCTGGGGGTTAGGTCCTTGCTAGTCTCTGTTCTCTGTGCCTGCTTGTCCTTGGACTTGAGAAGGTGAAATCAGCATTTGCCTCACCCCAACCTCCCAAAAAAGACATAAAATAATACTAATTCACTCCTGCATAAAAACCTGGCTTTATTTTGACTCCGTGTGCCAGTCTTTTTAGTTAGTAGACAGGCACATGATGTGGGCTGACTTGGTTTTTGAAAAGAGTCAGACATGGTAGCTATTACATACATTTCCTTTCACGGGAATTTTCATATTCATATGGAAGAAGAGGAAAAACCTCATTTGCTTTGGGAAGGAAGTCCAGCCAATGATTAGGTTGCAGCTAAATCCCTAAAGACTCAGCCCTGAAAAAGCCTAAGATCAGAAAATAGAAGAGAATCCCTGTGCTATCTGCATTTAGCTCACCCATCAAAATTGATACCGTCCCTTCTCTCGTCACTTGCAGCTTCCTTTACTGAGTGCAATGGCTGCATACCCAAATCAACAATTAAATTCCCCCTTTGTTTGTGTGGCAGATGACAAATGCATGGAGGACATCTTGTGTTTCCTAGGCAGGCAGGGCACTTACTTTGATTGATGCTCCGTTGTGGAAAAAAATGAGCTGGGAAGGAATTACAATGGAGGGCCTGCAGACTGGAAGGGGATATACTAATTAGTCCTGCATTAAGCAGTCGGCTTGCATTGGCGATGAGACGCCTTCAGGAGGAAAGTGTAGGGGTTATTGATGCAAAACAGCATGGAATGCATTATGCCAGGTAGCTGTGTATTAGTTTTGTTGAAAGTATAGAATTTAGTAATGAAGAAAGAAACACTTAGGCTACTGTGTTTTTTAAAAACACCCTCCAGATTAATTGGGCGGACTCTGCTTTTTAACTCTACATGATCTTATAGACAAGCTGGAAGTCCTTCTCTTTTTCTAGGAGAACTCTTCCAGACTTTCCTCATCCTGCATGGTTCTAGGAAGGGAAAACAGCCACCACCTCTATACTCTCTGGCTTCTTTAAAGTCCCTCAGCAGCAGAGCCTTGAGCCTTGCTGGTGGAGCACTACGTTATAAAGGGAAAGGAAATTTTCCCTCTCTTTCCAGGTTTTGGAGAGTTGGTGCTGATTTGACCAGGAGAGAACCCTAGGGGTATATCAGGATAAATTCAGCATCTTCTGTGGACACAAGGCTGGATTAAAAGGGGCTAAAGAGAAATGCAGAGAATGTTTCTCTGGTTTAGCATTTGCAGTTTGCCCTTCTATTTTGGGGGCTATAAGCAGAGGTAGAGTAGTAGGTAGTTGCTGTGTGCCATTCATGCCTGAGAGTATCACAGATGCTCTAGGTGACTGGTGTGTGTGACTCTAGGGATACATGGCTGGTCATTTCGAGGTCAGTACCTCCTGAGCAATGGAAAGTGATAGGCAAAGATGCTCAAATATTTACTAATACAAATGGTTTAAAATTCAAACCTTGACATGTTGATTTGGTCAATTTGGCCTGAAGAATCAATGAAATTGGGGTCAATGACTCCAGTGAGGTGACTAAAAGGGAAAAAAATCACTGAGGTTTTTGCTCAGAGTTTGAAAAAAAAGATTTAAAACTCCCTTGGTTTTAGAATACCGGTATAATTTCACTAACCTACCATGTTAATATGGATAATGTGATTCTTAGTGATTCTTTACGCTGAAACCCAGTGAACTATCAGGTGTCCTGTGCTAACTTAATGGGAGAGTAGGTGGTCCAAAGTTTTCGGTTCACTTGGTCAAAGCTGTCAATGCTGGTGCAGCTGAGATTTCCTTTTACTTTTCTTATTCTAGAAGCGAGTTAGTCTAAGGATTTGCAGATGCCTATGCTAGGAAAAAAGATATAAATGATAAAGATAGCATTTTGAGTTTTCAAAGACTCGTTTTGAGTCCTGTTAAGTTTTAAACTAGAGCACAAGACAGATATCAAAGTATCAGAAACATTATCAGATGACTAAAAACTGTCTTTCATGGACAGAACCAGGAATTGTGCCAATAGCTCTAGGAAGAAAAGCTAAATAGTTAATGTGGTTTATTTTTTAACCATCCCTTTGTTTTAGAATTCTATCTTATTCTTGAGCTGATTCTATGTCACCATGACCTTCTCCTGCCGAGAAGGCACAGTCGAGGCATCCTTTAGTAATAGCCTAGGGCTTTGGACAAGCAAGATGCTGTGCTGGCTTTTTGCCTTTTCTTCCAATGTTTACAAAACCAAGACTTATTACATGCTTTGTCATTTTGTTACTGGGCTGGCTTTGGTTGGAGAATTAGGTAAACATGGGACATTCCATCACACAATTTTAGTCTCAATCTTACTTTATAATGATGCTAATGTTTATTGTGCAAAGCAAGGTGCATTTGTATATTTTAGCATTTTATTCCAGTTACAGAATGCAAAAACCAACATTGACATCAGTTTGATGTGTGTGTGTGTGTGTGTGTGTGTGTATGTGTGTGTGTGTGTGATTGAAGATATTAAGCACTACAAGAACGTTGAAATTTCAATCTGATTAGGATCAAAATTCTTCAGGATCAAAACACTCCTTTTCCTCCCCCTACAGTTTTACTAATTGTGTGCTACTTGACATTGTGGAGTTATTCCGCAGCGTGATAGCTAAATATGTGAAGTGTATTTTGCTGTGCAGAATTATCAGCTCATTCTATTTGTTTTTCATGTGTTTAAGGTTATTAAAAGAACTTAAAATTAGAAGTCATGTGTATGAGTCGAAAGAGTGAACTCAATCATTGTTAGTAGGCTAAATCATAAAGCAATAGCCAGTATGTCAATATTAAGTAATAAAAAAATCACAGAATTTGAAAGCATACCTTCTCTGTTTATTAGCTGGCACAATACCAGGAAAATTAGGAGACTAGCACAATAGTGAATGGTGGAGTTGTTTATTTTCAGCACTCTCAAATTATTCTGGTTACTAAAAATGAGATAAAAGTAGATTGGAAAGAATGGCATCAAAAATATTTTGTTGGAGACCTTTGCTTTATGGGAAGAAATGAACTGCTCTGGCTCACTATTCCTGAGGAATTGTATTTCTTCAAGCTGTAAATCAAATCCCACAGAGATAGCATGATCTATTCCAAATAATAACCTGAGGATGACAAAATTCTCTTTTGTCAGCATCAGGTTTCTGAATTTAGACCTCAATTAAGATTCCCAAAAGAAAAAGCACCCCTCTCTCCCCACACACATGGTCTATGACGGTGTCCTACATGCAATGTATTTGTTTTTAAAGTCTGGATCTCGGGCATATATTGGTCCAAAAATATATTCTTTGCTTACTCTAAAGTTCTGATTTTTCTCCATTTTCTCTAAATTCCCAGCTACAAAGAACCTGATGTTTCTTTTCAGGAAGCAGCATCATTTTTTCCCCCAATTAATTGAAGAGCCATCTGCTTCTGTGATACACAACACCCATTCACTCACAGCAACAAGTGTGTCCCCTAAGTCCCTCATGTGCAATACCAAGGCACACAGTCTGTGCCAGGAGTAGAATCTGCTGGAAAGCAGCCTTGTGGGCAGGCTTTTTCCAAAGGCGTGATATATACCAAATCTGACACTGAACTTGGCCCTATGTCATTGTTGCTAACACAGAGTTAAAAATACAGTATGAGATGCTCCCACTTCGAGACTTGGGCTAGCTTACTGTCTCTCCATTATGCTTTTGGAGATCTGAGTTTGAAACGAGCAAATGACCACGCCCTAGAAAGACCTAGAACAGCTCTCCTCAACCATGGCGAGAAAGGGGGAGCGAGGAAACGCAAAGGCCACATGGGCTGGTTTTATTGCATAACAGCATCAACTTCAAGCTGTATTGTCTCATTTGTGGCATCTTGCTTATATTTAAAACCAGAGTTCAGAACTGGGTTTAGAACCTTCTAGGAACATAGCTGGTAGGGCTCTCATCTTTTAGGAAGAGCCTAATGAATGGTCATAAAAAGTCCTCTCTGGCTGGAGGAAAGCAGCCTGTTCCTAAGAGGCCCACCAGATCAGTGCCTCTCACTACGTGGACTGTCATACCCTTTGCAAGCACAGCGTAAACAGCCCAGCTGAGTCTGATGAGGGAAAACTGCATGAGGATGCTGGTGTGCCAGTTACCTCTTGGACCTAGCCAGACACTGCTGATCCTGCTTTGCCAAAATGCCACAAAAGGTGCCTTGGAGGTCAGCCTGCAGTTTAGAAGCGGGGAACCAGACTCGAAGAGCTGAGATTTGTTTATCTCTCTCCAGAAAAGGGAGATGGGGGCACCTGCTCCTCTGAGTAACTCTCTTTTTGGAAATACAGTGGGAAGACACTGCTTTTGAGAAGTGCTTTGTCTACATCATGTGCTCTGTCTCTGCTCTCGGGCTTCTCCTCCCCCACCCCAGTTTTGAAGCTAGTTGAGTAGAAATTTTTATAAGCTCTGGTCCATTTGGGCCTGTCCTCTCCCATGTATATTTTGAAACTGAGACCACAAATTTCCGAGTGGAAATTGATCTCTAGAAAATGAAAGAGTCAAGAAAGCACTTAAGACAAAGTTTTTCCCATCACTTCATGGGGGAGAGTGCACAAGAGACCATGAAATCTCAGGTGAGTGCCTAAAGATCCAGCAATTTCTCTGGGCCTGAGGTCCAACTTTCAATCTAATTCCAACACAAGTTGAAGTGATTTATGTCTCACTTTTTCTCACTGCCTGCTGACAGTCACCTCAAATGTACACAGGAGACATGAAAGGAGAACTCGGCACGGAAACCAAACAAACATCAGAAAGAGAAGAAACCAGCCAGGCTGTGTCCACACACGGGAGGTACTTACAGTCCAAGTGACTGTGCCTGATGCCCTCGACGTCCTCGGCGTGGATGAAGTGGTAGCATCTCTTCCCCACAATGTCTACAGGGGTCAGATCCATATAATCACTGATCCTACAACGAGAAGGACACAGAATGGAATTCAGAAGAGGGGAAAATATAGAAACTGTCAAATGACTTAGAAACATATTCCTGGCAGTTTTCATTCTACCAGGGTATCTGGGAGGACTTGGCATTTTAAGGAATAACCTTTTATACATAAGATGATTTTTTTGAATGTATAAAAGACTTTTTCAAAAGTAGGAAATGTGCTAGATCAAGCAATCGTGTTTAAATAGTTTATTCTTCCTTTCTTTTTTTGGGGTATCAGAATATATATTTAGACAACACAATTCCACGAAGTTATTGAGAATCAGCAACAATGCAAGATCCTCATTAGAGGCCAAGATAATTCAAGGTTACATAATAAAATAAAAACATGTTATGTTTATATCAAATGATTAGAGACACCTTACATTTAAACAGATTGGTCTTCTTCTGGGTATTACCATGAAAAAAGGGCTTCAACTGCTTCTTGGCACAGAGTCCAAATTGGCATTTCAAGGGATATAATTTAAATGCTGAGACATACACATGCCTGGGGGTATTATCTTTTCTAGTCTTAGTCATTTGGGAGCTCAGCTTTCACTCCTGGCCCTTTTAACTGGTACTTTGTGGTAGATTCCACACAGAAACTTTTAAACCATTTCAGCAGCTCTTCCAGGCTTGTGCTCGACATTACAGGTGCATAAGCCTCTGTCATTGATTGTCCAGACGTCAATGTCCTCGGGCAGGAGCACAAGAAAATAAAACAAAAATTGGAAAACACGTTGGGAGAATCTGCCTGGTTTACACAAACATATCAGAATGCTTATTATGCTCCTCCCTATCCAAGTACAGATTCATTTTGGTCAGTCCACAATAAAATCATCTTTTGTTTAACTTATTCTCTTTAATGACCCTGTGCTTTTTATGGTTTGACTTATGATATATTCAACTATGAAGTGACTCTTTAGAAATGACACGGTTAAGCAACCCAGGAAATCGCTGCTGAGGAGTTAAGCCTGACTCCCAGGGCAGGGAAATAAGAAACAAAACAAAAGCAGAATAATGTGGAGGATAATTAAAATATATTTAACCCAGTGAGTGAATTTCTCAGTGTCTAGCAATAGAAATCATATTTTTAGCCAAACCAGAATTCTTGGTAAGATAAGACTGAATGAGGCAACAAAAAGGAGTGTTTTCTCAGGATTCCGTGATTTTCTGATGCAAAACAGATGAGCTGGTGTTTTCCTGAAACCAGTAGCTGCTTTTCCAGCACAGTTTACACCCCAGGTCTGCAAATGAGGGAACAAGGATGTCATTAAAAGGCGCTCATTGGTGTTTCTGAAATTTGCCAGCTCCTCTGAAAAGCCACATTAGATGTCAGCCCTGCCCGAGGCCGTCCTAGTGACCGCTGGGGACCGCTGGGGAAAAGAATGGTCTTTCGAATGAAGAATCGGCTTCGGTTTCTAGTTAGTAATTCTCTAATTAAACAATAAACCCCCGGAGGAAAAAGCCACTTCATTCCTGAGGGAAGATATTTCTTTAGTTTATTCTTTATTTGAATAAAATCCTCCAAATGATTGAAGCACTTCTATGTACCAGCGCCTGTTACCGTGGTAAATGTGACCAGCTCAGTGTTCAAAGACCTCTTATTATCTGTGTTGGAAGCCCCAGACCAGGCTGATGACTTCTATTGGAATCAGAATCCTGACGGCATCTTGTACTCTGAACTTCCGTTTTCTTATCTGTAAAACAGCCTAAGATGTCATTGAGGGGATTAATGAATGAAATGAATGTAGCAAAGTGCCTGGCACATGGTATGCTTTTCCCTTAGATCAAATATGTGATTACCTTTCACACAGGTCTTTTTAATAATTACTATCATCTTCAGTTGGGAAATAATGCTGTATTGTCTTAGTTAATAAGGGGTTGTGGAAAACATTTTTTTTTTTTTAAATAGGGAGGGAAAAAAAAGCTTAAAGTGGGTCACAGAAAATGATCTCAATTACTAGAGTGGCACCATAAGCCACTCAGGTCCATGGAGCGCGTCAAAAGAATCTGTGATCACAGGAATGAAAATTAAGTGATGGTTTTGGGATAGGACAGTCACTGGGTAATCGTTAGGTAAATAAGATGAGCTTCCATTTTTTTTTTCCCCCCCGAAGGGATTGGTGGTAGTAAATCTAAATCAAAGGAGCAGACGTATGTTTTCAAAGAAGCAATACCATAGTTTATCTTTTGATTTTCTACCTGCCTTCTTGAGTCTCTGGCATTCTACATTTTAAATCAGAGAATAAACAGCTTTGTGGGCTGTAATTATGTTTTTCGTTGGTACATATCTATGAAAGGTCACCCATAGTTGTTATTCGTTACCATTTATCCTGACTTCTGAGGAAAAATTTGAGACAAGTAATGCAGGGAGACACCACAGGATGCAACTAAGTACATGGTTTATGAATCTGGTGGATTTGGGTTTAAATCTTGGCCTCCCTTAAGTCACTTTCTCTCTAAGCTGAAACTGCCTGAGGGTGATTGAGTCAATGGCAAGACCTACCTCACAGAATAGTCTAGAAGTTTAAACGAGATATGGTGCATACAATAAGCTTCACACATTGCCAAGTATGTATTAAGTGTTCAATAAATGTTAGCTCTCTTTATTATCATTTGCCAACTCTAGCTCATCATTCTTGCTAACTGGCTTTCTCAATATTCTATGGCCGCTGCAGAACACCTTAGATACTGCCAAGGATATAGTCACAATGATAAAAAAAATGTTAATAAATGCCACCAAAACTTGAAAAATAGATTTAGAATTACTTATTAAATAATAGTGACAGGTTCATGATATCTTCTACCCCACTGAATGTTACTAGTTCAGGTGGGTATCTTCTCCCACTGGTGAATTCTTCCCTCTGAATCAAATCCTGACTGGAAATGGTAGGCATTTCTAACTCCACCTCCACACCTTTATTGCTTCCCAATGGACCGAACACAGGCTAGGCTCTGGAGGGGTCAATTGCCCAAGCCACCTGACCAGTCTGCTTTTTCGTTTTTCCTTTAAAGGCACTCATGGGGCTCAGTAACATATACTACATTCATGCCTGACAACAGTCTGTGCCACAAAAGCATCATCTCAAATCCTCAGTAGTTCTCCCTGTGGCACCAGGGGATGGACGGTACCGCTAAAGCTTCCTTCTACAGCTGGCACATGAGTAGCTCCTTTCTACCCCTCTCCCCACATCCCATGATCCTCTCTCCTTTAAATTAGTCTGATGATGGGCTGGTGACTTCTAGGTGAGAGGTCTGAAGGGGCATTGTCCCATTTCCTTGTCCCTTGCTTTGTGCTTAATAGAAAAAGTGAACTTTTAACCAAAGGCGAAAAAGTCCTTTCATAAAAGCTCGGTGCTAAGGAAGGACTGCCAAGTCATTTATACAATGAGTCATCTTTTTCCTTTTTTTAATTTATAAAAGTGAGAATTACAAAGTTTTATTTAATGTATGTGTAGAAAGCCCCAGACTAGTCAGATGACCTGTGTCAGGATCAGAATCCTGATGTAATTTTCTTTTTTATCCTTTTTCCCTTTGGGAGATCTCAGATTCTCATTGGTTCTCTATATGTGTGGTGGACTAAATGTGTCCCGCCAGAATTCATATATTAAAGCCCTTACCCCGATTGCAATGACATTAGGATGGCGGGCCTTCAGGAATAATTAGTTTTAGATGAGGTCACAGGGATAGAGCTCCATGATGGGATCTGTATCCTTACAACAAGAAAAGGAGGCCACGGCTCTCTCTTTCCCCATGTGAGGACAGGGAAGAAGGCAGCAGTCTGTAAGCCAGGAAGAAAGCTCTCACCAGGAACCTAATCAGCCTGCACCTTGGCCTTGGGCTCCCCAGTCTCCAGAACTCTGAGAAATATATGTCTGTTGTGTAGGCCCCCTAGGTTGTGGTAATTTGTTACAGCAGCCCTAGCTGACCAAGACAACATGCTTAATGCCTGTCTGAACTCTGACAACTATGAGGCTGGGCTCTTGCAGTACTCAGGAAGAGGGTCTGGCTGAGGTATCAGGAGGTAACTTTTACTGCATCACTTTGCCAATAATGTCTCAGCCCTCCTCTCTCCTTGGGTTTTGGCCAAAATGGGCCCTAATTATAGCTCATGGATGCCTGGATATCCCAATTCATTCCCCTGTTGTCCCTAATGTAAATCAGGGAAGCAATGCAAATTCAAAATAAAAAGTGTGTTTGGTGTCAGTCCAAGCAGCCATTAAAAATAAGATCAGGATTTATAATGAGCCTCATTGGGAGAGTAAAATCCTTCAGCCTGCTGAAAACACCAACCCTCACCAATGTGTAACATACAGCAGGGCAAATGGAAACAAAAACCAAGTACCTATTTTCACAGTAAATGATATTGAGGTCCATATTTACTCGAGTGACGAACATATGGCAGTCGATTCTGACTTCATTGATTGTAGGGGGAGGCAAAGCATGTGCCACAACCACGAGACCCATGATTTGGCTGGGGACGGTCCTCCCATGGGACAGCGACACCCTCAGTCGTAGACGGCCTGTTATGTGAATCACCTGTAATAGAGCAGTAAGTATAGGACACAGTCAAATTTACCTTTGGGATGTAACAGAGTTTTACATCTGGCACAATCAAAATTTGCTTGTATCTTCTGTAATCATAATGGCTGTCAAAGTGCCCTCAGTGTCCTCAAGGCAAGCGACAAAAGAGTAATGTTATACTCTGAGCATCTCTCAAGGTAACATTATTACTATGCTCTGCTATTGCTATTTTTCAGGACTTTTTTTTTTTTTTTTCCACATTTAGAGGAAGTTCATAACTGGATAAAATGACCAGAAAAGTGAGCATTGAGCTGTGAAAGGAAACATTTACATTATCAGCCCTTGTTAATAGATGATGTCTGTCTCTCCCCAAATCTGTACTGAGTGGGATTACATGGCCCTCTTCTTTCAGAAGTGGGGCTCAGAGCTTTCCTTCACTGGGGGGTTGATATTGCACAAGGCCAAAGACTCCACTGAGTAAAAGGCTCAGGCGCAATGACATGATTGGCCCTTTGGAGCATAGAAATTCCGAGTTAGGCAGCACTGAGTTACCAGGAGTACTATGATTTATTGCAGTGGCCATGGGGTTGAAGGTAAGAGGAGTATGCCCTTCGTTGATTCCTTGACCTTCTACTAAAATAGGGTCAGGAAGACTTAGACCATCTCGGTGGCTCACTGTGCAAAACAGGAGGGATAATATTGGGTTGTAATTTTCGGTTTCTTAGCCAAAGTATACAATAGATAATTCAGCCCATCACCCGCCCCCCAACAACCAAACAAAATCAGTTCATCATCTTCCCATATTTTAAACAGTATTATTTTACAAAGGTGTCTTTTGCTTCTAAGCTGCATATGGAAGAAGACCCATTGTGTCAAATTCCTTAATTTGATATTTGGGGGAAACAAAATCGTGAAAAGGTGGAAAGTGGGAAGGATTTGTGTGGCTGTGCTTCAGGATGATGGAAGTCGTGTGTGTGTGTGTGTGTGTGTGTGTGTGTGTGTGTGTGTGTGTGTGTGTGTGTGTGTGTGTGTGTGTGTGTGTGTGTGTGTGTGTGTGTGTGTGTGTGTGTGTAAGTATGTACGTGTGTATGTGTACTCTAGCTGTGTTCCAGGACCCTGCTGTGGTGTGTGGGACCCTCCAAACCAGGTTGTAGAGGTAATTGCTGTGATTCAATGGACCCCAGAGCTTAGTTTAGTAGCTAACTGAGTTTTCGCATTTGGTTTGCTTTTCTGAGAGCATCCCTGAGCACCAAACCATCGTTTGAGAGTCTCCTTTTCCCTCTTTGCCACGAGGAGCTAAAGTGGGAAGCGGGTCTCTGGCCTCCCAGGAGCAATAAGATCTAGCGTCTGCTCTCCTTCCTAGGGGCTTGACTGGTAATTCCTTTTTCATTTTGTTTATATTTCTCTTAAGTTATTCAGTTTTCCCTCATTGCTGTCAGTCAGGAAGCAGGATCAAAGCGTATGGGCTGTCCTTCAGATTCCTGGCTGTTTTAAATCACACCTCTCCCCTGTTCTCCTTCACATTTGCACCCAGAGCTGCCGATCTGAACATGCCAAGGAGGAGGATTATTTAGGTTATTTCAGAAGTGGTTTTTCGGCCACCCACATTTGAAGTTAACTAAATTCATACTTAATGCACCTGTGCTTGAAGCTTTGGTCAGATGAGCTGCTTTATGAATATTTGAAAATGTTCCTAGAGGCAAGGATGCTAAAACACCATCACAGATAGTTTTTTTTTTTTTTTTTTTTTTGCAAGACTTCATTAACTAATAAAGAAATAGCTAAAAGAAATGGGATTAACTTCACAGGAGGGGTGTTAACAGTCTCTGGTCCTCCCAGCTAGGCTTACATAGATGCTCATTTATCATTATCTGTCTCGTTTTATCAGGAACATTCAGCTTCTTGGAAAAACACAGATCTGTAAATGCTCAGGAAAATACACAGCCAGAAATGATATGCTAAATAAATCCCCTCTTGGTATTCTATTCTAAAGCAATTTATCGGTATCTGGGATAGAAAACATTTTGGGGAGGCAGACAGGCTACTGAGGTGAGCTGTCTGCATGTCAGATACATTGGTCTCTGATCTCCAACTTGGCCTTCATCCATTGAGGTGTTGCTGGGAGCCATAGTTGGGTCCAGTAGAGGTCTAGGTTTGCTATTTTCTGATTTTGTTACCCCAGATGAGTCATTCAGTCTCTCTGCATCTCAATTGCTTTTTTCTGTGAAATGGGGATTATAATTATTCTGCAGTTATGTTATGAAAACCAAAGAAGATAATGGAGGTGAACACTTTCTAAATTGTAAAGAAGTCTGCGGATTTCATTATGACTCTATTTGCCTTTAAATAATATATTGGTTGAATAACAAGGAAAAGGAGCTCTTATCAATTTAATCTTGGCTGAGAGCCTGATAAATTATGAAATTTTATGATCCTTTAAATATTTGGAAGAAAATTTGGGAGGGTCTGTTTTAGGTTTTTCTCTCTTTCATTTTTCAGGTGAGGGAAGAGGCTCTGGAAAGTTCATTCCCTGTCCAGAGTCACCTGGCTAGGAAATGGCAGAAGAGAGCCTAGAAGCCAGGATTCCAGGTCTTGTTGGAGTGTCATCTCAAATTTGTTATCCCTGCATGCATTTTATGTGCATATTCATATTGAATGAAACATTATGCTAATTTACCGCCTTAAGTAAGCTGTACATAAACTTTTAAAAAGACTTCACTTATACCCGGAAGCTGAGGTTTTTTGAAAAGTCTGAGAAATAGTACAAAGAAGAAGAAGAAGAAGAAAAACTAAGAAAATTACCAATGCAGTAACTGCACGGTTGTCAAGAAATGTCAAAGAACAATCGGAGGGTGTGTTTGTCTGTATATCTAGGGGTGAGGGAGGGTAGGACCGATGAGAAAAAAAGGATATCTTTTAGGTCCCATAATTAATTTTTGGTTGTAAATTGACATATATTCCCAAATCCATTTCATAATGCCAACATTTCTTTCCCCAGGTTATGTTCAAATTTTAGAAACGTGTCTGATAGCATGTAACCAAACACATAGGTAGTTGTTTAACTTTGTAGTTGCTTTTAAGGCCTGAGATATAGAGGAAAGAGTATTGTCAGAGGATCTGGGTTCAACTCCTGACTCTGGCATCGCATAGTCATCCAACTATGATGCTCAGAGGATTGAAATAACTTGCTTAGTCTCCAGGTTAGTTATTAGAGATTAAAAACCTAATACAAAGAGAATAAGTACTCTGTAAAGGTGTTCCTTGTTTTTTTGATAAGGTCATCAAAGAACATTTTATTTTTTATTTTTATTTTTATTTTGTTTTAGTTTCTAAAATATATTATGTGAAAGGGACCTTGCTAGATGCTGGGGAGCAGACCAAGGTGACTCAAATATAAACCCGTCTTTAGAGTTTATGTACTATATAGTGGGAGTAGACATATATAATTACCTGTAATATAGTCGTACTGAGAGATGACACAGTGTCTGATAGAGAAAGTTGTTCTCCATCTCGGTTATGTGACAGAATCACTCGTGAAGCTTTGTTAACACATAGATTCCCAGGCTCTATCCCCCAGAGATTCTAATTTAGTTGACTGAGCTGGAGTCCAGCATTTGTTAGTTTTTTAAAGCTCCAAATATGATACTTACTACTAGAGAATATCTGGCTAATGAGGTTAGAGTTATACCAGTGTTCCTCAACCTTGCTATAGGTTAGAATCACCTAGAGAGTCTTTAAAAGTCCCCATTCCAAAGTGTACCCAAGACCAATTCAATAGAGATTGAATCAATAGATCTCTGGGGTAGAGGCCCTTCCAGGTCTTACAGGGCTGCTGAGAGAATTAAATAAAAATGTACATAAGTGCGTAGGCATATGCTCAATTAGTACTATTTTTATTAAGTAACAGGTATGTACCATAGGAAAGGTATAGAATACAATCTGGGAATTCAGGGTAGGTAGAAAATACTTTTAATTGAATGGATCCAGAAGGCTATGTGAAACTGGCACTTGAGTAAGTTGTTGATACACGACATGATCATAGGATGGTGAAAGGGGTTTCAGACGTAGAGAATAGCTAGAACAACAGAATATAAAAGGGAACCCATCGGGAATGCCCAGGGCTCCTGGACCACAGTTGGTGTCAGCAAGAAAAGAGACAGGGATGGGCCAAAAAGGCAGGTACAAGAGGTAGAGATTGGCAGTGGGAGCTGTGGAGAAGGGACAGCACCATGATGCTGAGCCTGTCTGAGAGGATAATGATGGTAACAGACTAAACAGTAACCAGTAACGCAGCAATGGCTGACCAGCGTAGAGACAAAGATTCCTCTATGTTCATTTTGTGTTTGAGCAGCCTAGGGAGACCCTGGACACCGTGTTCAGGGAATGGTTGGAAAAGGTGCTGGGCACTGGAACAATGATAGTTAAATGTATAGTTTTGAAAAAAAAATTTTTTTTCCTGGAGGTAATAGTCAAACCCAAGAGATTCAATGGAATTACCAATGGAGAAAACAGAGATGAGAGAAGAACACCATAGGCATTCCACCCCCCACCCCCCGCCTTCGAGCCTCGATAGCCTAAGGCAACTTATGTTTTTTTTATAAATTGAGGTTCTCTTGCTTGTTAATAATTACTTTTGCTAAAAAAGTGAAAATTTCTCAAAGCACCGAGCCCCCTTTTTCATCACCCACAATTCCATTCTCATATAAATGCCAGGGTTGCCAAATTACTGCCAGTTCCATTGGTAACATCCCAAGGAATGGGATGGCTTCCTTATACAGTTAAGTAGTTGGATGAGAAATGATTTTGAATACAAATATGTAAGCCTAAATACTAATATTATACCAAGAGCCACCAATCTATAAAAATAACACAGTAGCTCTAAAATGAAAGGAATATTGTGGAGTAGAAATAACACTGAATTGGGAAACAGAATGTCTGATTTCAGTACTGGTTCTGGTATCTTTGGCAAGTCATTTGGCTCGGGCAGCATTTTCTCAGATATAAAATATTGGATG